CTGCTCAAAGATGAGCACTGCAGGAGGAGTTCAGTTACCTCTCGCCTTAATGCATCCCTAGACTTTGACCATAGATAGATAAGCCCCTCCCATTCACCACATGGATTGGCAAATGATTATCGCTCAAGTGAGCATGATGCTGCTGAGAAACACAGCCTCTCCCCATTCCGGGACATGGGCCCACCCTGCATGAGAAGTGACCATTGGTTTCCCCAAAGTCCTATGCCCACTAATGGGCCATCTGCTGAGGAGGGAAGGGACGACACATATTCCCCTGCCCAGGGCCAGAGAGGTGATGAATCCTGTGTAGAAAGACACCTACTTTTCTCTAAAAAATTTAAGACATGCTCATGTAGAAGTATTGGAAAATACACACGCGTGTACATATACACACACGCACCACAGTAGAGGAGACTTCCTTGGGGAGATTTCAGGCAGGGGCTGTGACTGGTACTCCTCTGCAGCGGATGAATAAGGTGGTCCCTGACCTCAGGAGAGTCTCCTTGAAGCAGGGGAGACAGGTGTTCTAGTGCTTTCTCATATGGTTTACCAAGTCTAGAGGTAAGTTTAAATATTGAGAGAATATGAAAGAGAAAGTTCTGGTAGTTCTGTCTGCAGGAGGAAAGGGGGTTAAGGAAGAGGTCTATGGAAAGCTACAGAGGGGTGACCTTTGTGTTTCCAAGTAGTGAGGGGGAGGGTACTTTGAGCAGGGGCAGCTGCAGGAGCAACGGGGCCAGGGTGTATTAAAGCACCTAGCATATGATAAGGGTGTTGGGAAGGCCGTGGAGTGTTCACCTACTGACTTTGAGTGGCATCTGTTGCTACAGAATAAAATCATTGCCTATTCCGCTGGGGAATTGGATTTGGACCGTAGATCTCCAAACAGGGGCAAAGGTGCAGTTCCAGAGTCAGCCAGAAGGTGGGGTCCTGCTCTCATCCTTGGAGCCGCTGTGAATCCCAGGGTTATGGGGTGAGAGAGGACAAAAGAATCTGACCCATTGTCTGGCACCCTGCTGGTGCTCTATGTGTGTTATTCCCACTTTAATTCTTCTAACAGCCCTGAAAGGAAGATGGTGGTGTCCCATTTTACAGCTGGGGAACTTGAGGCTCAGAGAGAGTCCCTGGACCAAGGTCACACAGCTGACAAATGGTAAAGCAAGGATTTGAACTTGGCCCTAGTGGTTTGGACTATGCACAGCACAGGAGAGCTCCTCACTCAGGTTGCTGCCTGCCTCTCCTGAGTCTGTGAGAGACTCAGGATTTTGGTCCTTTTCCGATTTTTCTCCCTCTAAATCTCCTGCCCCTCTGTCTCCATCTCTGGTCCCTTTTGGAGTCTGTGTGTTGTCTCCAGACCTAGGCCATGCTGGGTGACAGTATTGCCTCATGGCCTGGGAGCAAAGTTACTAAGAAGTGCAGGTGAGATGTGAGGCTCTCAGAAGCGAACCTCTGGAATGCTCCAAGAGCAAGAGGCGAAGCTTGCAACACTGAGCTAGAGGTCAAGGATGCATTCCCAGAAAGACCTAGAAATATATCACCAGCTCCAACCTGACAGTTGACCTAGCCACGGAAAACTTCACTGGACTTTCACTAAATCAGACCATAACTGGCCCTCTTAAAACTCTTTCCTCCAAAAGTATCAGGAATGAAAATCTAAGTATATATCTACCACTTCGAGAAAGTTCCTGTACCAGTCAACAATCTAACAGATGAGCTAGTTTCTTCAGTCACCAAGCAGACATATTCAAGCTACCAACACAATAGTGGAAAATGCCTCTATATCAGTTTTTTGCACATTATATGTGTGACCCATTAGTAGGTCATGAAATCAATTTTGTGAATCACAATGAACATTTTTAAGACAAAATAAAATATAAACTATTAAAAAAAAAGATCTGATGACCAAGTCTCCCAGCCCACCTGCCTCAGCTTCCCCCCACCCAACCTCTCTCCCCATCACCACGGTCTTCCTCCACCCAGCCGTGTTGCCACCTGGGCACTAGAGCCTGTCTCCCTTGTCTGTAGTCATGCCTTCTCCTCCTGACACCATCGAGATCTCCCTCTCCTCTGGACCATTTCCAGCAGCAGTCAAGCTCACTGTTATTGCTCTCACCTTAAGTGGGAACAAAACAAAAATCTTCTTTTGATTCCACTTCCCCACCAGTTTCTCAGCTTCTTCCCTTTCTCTGCTCCACTTTGCAGTAAAGCTCCTGGAAAGAATGGTCTCATCTTGCTATCTCCAGTTCTCCTCCACTCCATCTTGAATCTACCCCAGTCAACCAACACTTCATCAAAACCGTGCCTGTTCATGGCTCTGGTCAGTCTTGTTCACTGTTTGGATCCAAATACTCCAAAGGGACCTCATTTCCTCCAGAGGAAGAACAGTTTTTCTACTGCACCTCTTGCCCTGCTCTACACCCCCTCCTGTTACCTCTCTCCCCCTTGCTCACTCTGCTGCAGCCACCCTAGGCCGAGCTGGTCCTTTAGCCCTCCAGACACGCTCCCCACTTGCCCCTGTGGCCTGAGTCCCTCCCTCACTGCCTTCAAGCTGAGAAAGAGGAAAGCAGGCTGTGGCCTCCAGGAGCTGGCCTGGCACTCCCAGCTGGGCTTTGGTGTTCCCTGGGTGAACATAAACATTTCACAGACCATCTACATCAGAAAAGGCTACTCTGAGGTGACCGTGATGGATCAGGACACACAGGACCACTCAGTTATCATGTCTGAATACAGACAAAACACAAACATTATCCAAACCACAAAAAGACTAATCATGCCTGTAGTGGGTTGACTTGTGGCCCCAAAAGATATGTCCACATGGAACCTCAGAATGTAACCTTATTTGAAATAAGTCTTTGCAGAGGTGACTAAGGTAAGGATCTTGAGATGAGATTATCCTGGATTAGAGTGGGCCCTAAATCCAATGATAACTATCCTTATAAGGGACAGAAAAGGAGAAGACACAGAAGGAAATACACGTGAAGATGGAGGCAGAGATTAGAGTGATGCATCTACAAGCCAAGGAATGTCAAGGCTTTGCCAGCAGCCACCAGAAGCCAGGAAAGAGGCAAGGAACAGATTCTCCCTCAAAGCCTCCAGAAGGAACCAACCCTACCAACACCTTAATATCAAACTTCCAGCCTCAAGAACTGTGAGAGACTACATTTCTGTTTTTAGAAGCCACCACGTTTGTAGTAATTTGCTACAGCAAACAGGAAATTAATGCAATCCCCTTATGCTGGCTAGTGTGACAGCTGTTGCTTCTTAGTAATGACAGCTGCAGCTTTGGTCTGGGCTTCCCTCCTGCTGGATAGGTTATCAAGAGCCCCGGTCATAGAATTGTCCCTGCTTCCAATCCTGACAGCTTCCAATCCAGAGCAAAGTCTTGCTTCCTAAACTCTCCCGGAAATCATCTAACCCACGCCCAAATCCTGTATATCTTTTCTAGACACCCTCTTACTGAGTTGCCCAACTTGCTAACTGCCCTGTGCTCCTCGTGGTCTTTGGCTAGAAGGCATTGACAAAGTCTTCACCCAAAGGCCACC